GGGAGTAAGCCAGTAAGTAGCACTCCTCCACGGCCTCGGATTCAGCTTCTGCCTCCTGGTTCCTGTCCTGACCTTCTCCAATGATGGTTTATGATCTGGAAGTGTAAGTCAAATAAACACTTTCCTCCCCAACTTGCTCCTTGGTCATGGTGTTTTATCACAGCAACGGAAACCCTGTTGTGATGAAGAGACACCATGACCATGGCAAGTCTTGTAAAGGGAAGCAAGACTGGGGGTTTGCTTATGGCTTTCGGGGGCTTAGTTGATAATTATCATGATGTAAAGTATGGTGGTATGTATGTATGTTGTTTGGAAAGGTAGCTAAGAGCTACATCGAGATCCGTAGACCAAGAGGGGGGAGAAGGAAGAGAGGCGGAGGGCAGAGGAAGGGAGGGAAAGAGAGGGATGGAGGGAGGAGAGATAGGGGAGAGGGAGGAAGGAAGGAAAAGAGAGAGGAGGGGAGGGAAGGAGAGAGAGAAGGAAAGAGAAAGAGGGAGAAAGATAGAGAGAAAGGGAGGGAGAGAGCATGCACATGACTGGGTCTGGCATGGACTTTTGAAACCTCAAAGCCCACTCCCAGTGGCACACTCCTTCTAATCCTTTCAAATAGTGCCATACACTTGAAATAGCATTCAAATATATTAGTGTCATTGTGAGTTATTTTATTGCTCTGTTCATTTAGCAGAATAATAGTAGTAGGTTATCCCCTAGCCACACACACCCCAAAAAAGGTAGTAATGTGCCACAGGGAAAATCCACTTGTTTTACAATAGAGTATCACTGTATACCCTATCTGAGTGGCTGAAACTCATGGGGATCTGTCTGCCTCTTCCTCCCGTGTGATGAGATCAAAGGCATGCACTATAACACCTATTTATTTATTTATTTATTGTTAATCACTTGCATAAGTGTGAGGCTGTGTATGTGCATGTGAGTGCAGGTGCCGAAGGAGGCCAGAAGAGGTCACTGTTTCTGCCCTGGAGCTGGAGTTATGGACAATAATGAGCCGTCTAATGTGGATGCTGGAAATTGAACTTAGGTCTTCTATAAAACCAGTACAGCACTATTAAATTCTCAGCTGTGAATTCTGATGGCAAAAGCTCGCCTGTATACTTACAGTTCTTCATGAGGTCATCAATTTCGGTATCTTGGAGGGGAAAAAAAAAAGATAAGGGCAGACGCTATGTTTACTAGAATAGTTGGAGACTTTAATTGCTCCTACACCTTTTAGATTACCTCAGTGTTTCCCCGAGTGTAAAAAGCACACCAATGGTGGTATAAAGATGCTGTTTAAGTGGCACATGGATGAAAGATTTTAATGATTTTGTGTTTGAATGTATAGTAGAACAGATACCTAACTATTATACGAAACGAGATGTTTTACAGATATTGTTGCTTAGAGTGATAATATCTCCTGTATTGCAGAGATTGTTTTAAGTAAAAAGATTAAGAAAATAATATACCCATGAGTGCTATATTAAAACGTATGAGCAAAAAACATTGAGATGGTTTTCAAGTGGCTGGAATTTGAAAATCAGTGGACTAATTTCTTGCAACCGGAGTTTGAGGAGGTAGGAAAGAAGCAGATAAGAGCCACAGATTAGTCCATGTGTTCCAAGGCCCACTCACACTGTTTCTTCCAAAGCATCAGACCCACTGACCTCACGAAGCTGTGTACGCAGGAACAATGTCGCGCTGGGCTGTAAAGCATTCTTGCACGATGAGCACATACGCCATCTCCATCAAGAGGTCTGGCTTTGATGTGCAAGTGTTTTCTTTGTGGATGAGTAACACTAAGCTTCCAAGAAGCATCAATTCCATGGGGGAAAGTTTTCGATTATTGTACTGTGGATAGTACTCTCGTGTGGTTTCAAAGTTTAGCTACACTTAAGAATTTTTTCAAAGCATTTCTAAGTGAAAAACTATAAATTAAGGCAAGTCGTATGACAAATGGGGCACAGGGGGGTGAGTAACAGCACAAGAAAATAGGGTAATTTGCTATTATCTCACCCTTTCGTTAACTGGAATGGAATTCCAATATGGCAGACAGAGTGTCTGGTTAATGAGTTGGGAACAATCCGAAGTTAAGCCTTACAGGAAATTATTGTTTATGGTGAGTGGTTTGGGTGAAAATTAATAAATCACACAAGACATTTTCATTTTTCAGTTTTATTTTTATCAAAACAAAATAATTTAACCATATAAAGAAGGGGGAACATTCATCAACCAAGAAGCCAAGCGCTTCCCCATCACGAACAAGGGGTAGAGCCATAAGCCCCACTGTCTGCCTCTGTGAGCTGGTGAGTCAGTCTTTAGTGCTCCCAGTGGCCAGGACTGACTCTTTCCCAGGCTCCTTCTCCCCAGGGTGATGCAATTTGCTCACATGTCTGCGTACCCCTTCGGAACAAACTATGCATATCACCACATCAATGTAAGGTATGGAGAACACGGCACAAGGGTTGAGATCCACTCAAGGGTGTTCAGGGTCCAGACATCTATATTTAGTGAGTTTCGAAAGAGACAGACAAATGTAGTGTTTCAGAAGGTGGTGCTTCCTTAACCGGGGACCAACGACTGGAGTAAAGAAAAACACACGGGCTTCTCTTGCTGCAATTGTAGGGCTGCGACCGCCCAGAGCCAGGTGAACCATGTTCCCCCTTCGCCTATTAAATGACATCAAGGGAGCTAACAGCCGCACGTTCCTGGAACTATAAAAATCTGCTGTACCAGGCAGATTTTGTGCAAAATGCAAATCTCCGTACTGGGGGAAGAAATGAATGATGCTATCATTGTAAGTGATGGATGTGAGCTCGAGGAAACACATTTCGGCATGAGACTGGGAACCGTTTGTCATCCCCGCTGAGGACAAAGGTCACCGGCACTGTGGCAAGGCTGGCATCCTTCGGATCCAGCTTTAGAAGGGCAGCACTCAGGAAAGGGAAGTTCCAGTTGGCTCTGAGTTACCCACCAAGTTGTTGGCTGTGCTTCTATTAGAATCCAGAAGACTCTCTCTCTCTCTCTCTCTCTCTCTCTCTCTCTCTCTCTCTTTCCCCCTTCCCCTGTGCCTCTCTCTCTGTCTCTCTCTCTTTCATTCCCCTCTCCCTCCCCCACCTCTCTGCCCCCCTTTCCCATCCCCTTCTCTGTGGTCACTCTCTGTCTTTTTCCCTCCATCTCCCTCCCCTCTTTCTCTGTTTCTCTCCCTCTCCCAACACCACAGGCTGTCCTGGTTACTGTGAGGTGTAAGCCTTGGGTCTTGGGCCTTCATTTCCTTTAAAATGCCAAGTTTAGACTTAACAGGAAGAAAGAGCGATTCCTATGGCACCTTACAACAAGGAGGATGAGGCTGGCCACCCAAACTCACAAATCTTTAAGTGTTGGCCAAGTGGAGAGAGATGCCTTGTCCCTCCATGCATCTCAAAATGTGGCCAGGCACAGAAGTTAAGGGGGACAGTCAATGACCAGTGGCGGGAACCATGAGCAACGGCATTTGCATGGCAAGGAACAGGAAGCTGTCTTTCTCACAGTCCCTGCAGGTAACCCTGGGATGATATTTATGCAGGGAGTTGAAGCACCCATTGCTTCAACCTCCTACATGAGGGTCCACGGAGTAGCGGTGCTGGCAAAGAATGCACTGGCCTTGCTGTGAAACATTTTTATGTGTGAAGCTGGGCATTGAACCCAGGGCTTCATGCTTGCCAGGCAAGCGCTCTACCACTGAGCTGCATCCTCAGCACTGAACATAGATGGGCTTTGCCTGAACTGCCATGAGATGTGTACTTGGGGTATTGTCAAACGGCAGCAAGAACCAACTGGAAATACTAGACGTTTAATAACTCAAGCTGAGTTTGGGGTTCTTTGGGTAAATGTTTTCTTATAATTTTCTTATCATTGTATTTTGCCTTAAGAAAGTTAGATTTATAAAAACCAGTGACCATATGTTATATTATATATATATACATATAATTTATATTATATAAAGGACTCCCCATTAAAACCAAACGAAACAATATCTTACTTTAGGATATTTTTCAGTAGCTAGCTCCTCCCAAGGTTTTTCAAAATAAATGTCTGATAAAAAAAAATCTATGGAAATACAAGGTTCACAAATTCATGTTGGTTTAAAGTAAAGGGCCCCTGGCAAGACTGACACTCACTAAATGACCAGGTGGAGCAGGGTCTGGCAAGCTGCCTGTCTCTGTCATAGACACAGGGCTTTAAAGAGATGGAATCAATACTTTGCACCGTTGGATATAGCCTAGGGGGTGGCAGCTGGCTATGGTGACTTGGAAGAGACTGTGCTCCCACTGTGACATGTGGCATTGTGTGCTTTTTAGGGCTATGCTTATGTATATATATAAGATGGGCCTGGTGACACTCTTAGGTTTCAGCAGTCACCTGGAAATCAGGGTCTAGAACAGCAGCTCCCTGCCTTCCTGGCAGTGTGACCTTTAATACAGTCCCTCATGTTATGGTGAGCCCCAACCATAAAATCATTTTTGTGGCTAACTCATAACTGTAATTTTGCTACTGTTATGAATCATAATATAAAATCTGTGTTTTCTGATGGTCTTAGATAACACTGTGAAGGAGTCATTTGACCTCCCCAAAGGGGTCTCAACTCCCCAAGTTAAGAACCACTGACCTGAAAGGTAATTTTCTTCCCTTGCCCTGTACCTCCTGAGACAAAGGAGCCAGTTCCACCTACATACATGTTCCACCTACATACACGTTCTCTTCCACTCAGTTTTATGTTCATTGTTTTATAAATTCTGATTTTTAAGGTAGGTGATGATACTCCAATGATGTGGGATCTCATTCTATATATGTGTTGCTTTTATTGGCTAATGAATAAAGCTGCTTTGACCTATGGCAAGGCAAAATATATCCAGACTGGAAGAGATAGAGAGAGAGAGAGAGAGAGTAGGTGGAGTCAGGGAAATGCCATGGAGCTGCCAAAGGTGGCAGACACCAGACCCTTACTAGTAAGCCATAGAGAGAGAGAGTAGGTGGAGTCAGGGAAATGCCATGGAGCTGCCAAAGGTGACAGACACCAGACCCTTACTAGTAAGCCATGGCCCTGTACCAGCAGCACACAGATTAGTAGAAAAGGGTTAATTTAAGATGTAAGAGTTAGTTAATAAGAAACCTGAGCTAATAGATCAGTGTTGTAATTAATGTAGTTTCTGTGTGATTATTTGGGTCTGGGCAGCCAGGAAACTAAATGCAGCCTCCTCGTGTAAAATGGTGCCCAATGTGGGGCATGAACCCATGATGTTGAGATTAAGAGCCTCATGCTCCCCTAAATCAGGATTGCAGGAGTAATTAGAGGACCCTTCCCTCAGTTCATATACTACACAGCAGTAGTAGCCTAACAATATCTGTGAATCAGTTCCCCAAAATGACGACTCTGGAGCAATGGCTTCCATGGGGACATCTCCAGCCCATGAAGACACAGCTATAAAGGGAACCATGGTCTCTCAATTAGCTAATCCCACCAGGATTCAGCCCTATAGACACAAGTGAGCTCCTCTGACCAGGTCTCACTGTCATGCACAGAGACAGCCATCCCCAAGGTCTCCCAGCCAAAGACCGGGTCAGGACTGTGCCTCCCCTAGAGCTCTTCCTCAGCTGCCCTTCTCTGGCACAGGCCATCCAAAGGGCAGAGACCACTGTGCCATTCTCATTTGCTTTAAGAAGCATACAGAGGTGACGTCTAGTTCTTTTCAACTCCTGTTGGCTGGGTTTGCCATCACTGAGCTATCTAAACATGTATGTGATGACCATAGACAGAAGGACCTACTAAGAGGAAGTTGCTTTTGCTGTGGCGTTGAAGTTCTCAGTGAATAACAGCCACGCTGGGAAGGTGACATGGGAATACTAGAAAGTGGATCAATCTTCCTCACAGTAAGGACTTAGGAAACTAGGTTCACACGTGTTGAGATGCTTCTCATGGCTGCCTTGCCTGGGAGTACAAGATGTCACGTGAGCATCATTACCTTAGAGTTAAGCCGAACATTCAGCCAGAAATCACAAACTGTACAAAATCAAACCAAGGCAAGTAGAAAATTGTAGAGGAATGAACAGTGTAAACTTCTTCAAGTTTCCCCCTTGCACTTAAGGGGACGAAGAGGAAGTCTGGGAACCTGGGGCCTGCATAGAGGGCTGGCTGACGCAGACCTATCTGCCTCTGCACGGGGGTGCACCCGTTTGAAATACTGGGGGATTTGATCCATGCTGTTCTGAAATGCCCAACGCAAAGGCTGATTTAATTTGACAGCAAAATAACACCAAGTCCCCAAAATAAAATTACCAAGATGTAAAACAGCATCAGAACTCCAATTAGTTTTATGTCCTGGAAGCTTCTAGAGGAAGCCTAAAAGACTCCATCATGAGGAACAGGCATCAGTTCAATCTGTACAGATTGCTAAAATGTAGCCCTCTAATTGAAATTGCTCAGAGCCCAATATGACGAAAATAATCAGAGGGAAATAAGTGAATTTTCCCCCTTTTAAAAAAATGACTCATTGCAGTGACTATTTTACTGACTTAATGCAATGTTCCTTTGCAAGATCTAAAAAAAGAAAAAACAAAAACACAAGGCTTTTTTGGCACTGGGGGGTCTAACAGGAAAGGCACATGTACAAGGGCCATAGGTGCTCGTGTTACTGGAACAGAAACAGGTACTGACCATTTGTGCAACACTTAAAAGGGCCTTAGGCATTATGACGTATTTACATTGTCCACTGGGATGGCTGGCTGGCCCTGACCAGTTTTGAATGCATCTGGACTTAGTCTCCAAAGTTCACAGAACCATCTTGGTGCCCAGTCCGTACCCCATCCTTTTTCCTCAAGCCACCCCAGTGACCCCAAGTATGTTTGCCACTCTTCTTAGTGATGGAGATGTCAGGAGCTTGACCCTGTGGGTCTCCCTGGTCAGGAACGATGTCACATATGGCTCTTCCAGTTAGTGTCCTCTGACTGCATGAGGCAGGCGAGGATCACTGTGTCATGTTGGAGCTGTGGATGCTGAGCCTCTTGAGATGGTAATTCTGGCCATCTTGGCTCTTCCAGCTCAGTGTGGAAGAGTCCAAAGTCTGTCTGAGAGACACTGAAGAAAGGCATGGCTGTTTCTGGGCATTGTGTTGGTTAGAGCTGGCTTGAAGGACCCTCAGACGGCTTTCATAGCCTATGGATGTTGTGTGAGTGGTGATGTTATCTCTGGCCATCCCCAGTCCTTGGCCATGGCCACCATCTTTCTCCTGAAGCACATCATACCTCTATAACCAGTCTATCTTCATCATCACTGCTGGGATCGCTCAACTCCACCCGAGTCTGTTTTCTCATTCCTTCCAAACTCCTTTTCCGGATGGACTTCAAGGGGGCTTCAGAGACCTCTGAGGGTTGTCCTTGGTCAGAAGGAGCCATGAATTCTTCCGTGCGACATGTGCTGCTCTCACTTCCTAAAGCTGCACATGGGACGCTCACTTCCCTCTGCCCATACTGGGTCCAGGAGGGAAAATCTGCCTGGGGTCTCACTTCCTCCTGGTGTGAACTAGTCGAACCTGGACCTGATGGCAGCATTTCTAAACGTGTTCTTCCAGGTGATATTGGGCTAGGTGAAGGTCTCCTAGGCAGGAGAGCCTGTGCTATGCTTTCTGGAATGGCTCTTCTATCTGGGGAGCTTTGGGCCAGTGTCTCTTCCATATGGGACTCCACACTGTGACCCCCCAGTGTTCTGTGTCCTGTTCGTGTCCCCGTAGGAACACAGATGGCTGCCACAGAGGTAGCAATGTCACGGTGGGGAAATGTTCCTTTCGATCTAAGGGATGGAGGCGGCTTTGAATCATCTGGGGAGATACACAGGCTGGCAACTAAGGAGACTTGATCCTGGGAAGGTGGCAGTGGAGTCCCTGGGGGTCCCACATCAGAACCCTTGCCCTGGGGCAGGGGATCTTCCTGAAACATTGTCAAGCACACATTGGATGGCAGAGATTGTCCTGACCCATTGGCATGATCCTTCTCCTGAGAACAGTCATTACGCTCACCAGCAGATGGAGAAACATCCTACAACAAAGAGCAAAGGGGGAAAAGTTAATTGGCACAAAGAAAACTGTGATCTGAAACATGGTCTGCCATGAAAGAAAGGTCTTGAGGTCCCGACGGCGCCTCCCTGAGCGTGAACCTCAATAGGATGTCCTCAATAAGCTTCCATTAATAACTGATCAGCCCATTAACCTCAGCCAAGCTCCTGACTGATACAAAAGCAGTTTCTGTGTAAAGCCAAACAACCCCATTACCCAGCTGGTCCCACACTTCCTGTCTCCTGGTCCACCTAGGGTGCTTTCGCATTGCAGTAACACCGAACATATGCCTTAGCATCTTTCTTCTGGGGGAACTAATCACGCAGACTTGGGGTTTTCAAGAAAACCTGCCAACAGTTTCACAACCAAAGCCGACCAGTAGCATTGTGACATAGCCCCGGGTGTAGGTCAACTGTCTACCTGGCTCACAACAGGCTTTCTTGGTTGTTTCCCACTGCATACGCTGCTGGCTGGCACCAGAACTTTTAGGGGTTTTCCTGTCTCCACCTCCCATCTCCCTGTAGGAGTGCTGAGGTTAGACCCTCAAGATGTGTATCCAGCCTTGATGTGGGTGCTGGGGATTTGAACTCGGGTCCTCACACTTGAATGGCAAATGTTTTATTTATTGGACCATCTCCCCAGCTCCAAAAGTAGCTAATTTTTCAGTGTAGAATGTTTGGGAAATTTTTTTTAGTCTGGTTTTAGGTTTGTAGAAGGAGATCAGGTAATTTCACCACATAGACAATGATATGGAAATAAAGGCATAAGTCGAGATGATGGGTAGGCACTGGTGCCTCAGAATGGTGGTTCCCACCTTTAGAGTCAAACTGTCTCTTTCCAAGATGGTTTTTGTGCCAGGGGAGATGGGTTCTGAAGATTGTTGGCAGTCACCTTCCTTCTCTTTGCTCCCACGACCAACAGGCAGGTTTGGGCTGGCACACGATGGCTCTCCTTGCAGATGCAGACCTGCAAGAGGGAGCGTGTTTTATAAATACAATCATGAAGTGGACCAAGAACGATGAGGAGGTGGTCCAAGTCTCTACAGTGGGCCTCCGTTCACACAGTGTGTCCAGGACTCTGATCACCTCCAGCTCACACTTGGACAAATGCATCGTCTTCACATCCTCCAAGGAAGGAAACAGTAATGCCAAGACACCAAGGTGATGACTCCACAACCATATACATTGTACACAGAGTTGGGCACGGTGTCCACTCTCATCACATACATTGTACACAGAGTTGGGCACGGTGTCCACTCTCATTACATACATTGTACACAGAGTTGGGCGTGGTGTCCACTCTCATCACATACATTGTACAGAGTTGGGCACGGTGTCCACTCTCATCACATACATTGTACACAGAGTTGGGCGTGGTGTCCACTCTCATCACATACATTGTACACAGAGTTGGGCGTGGTGTCTGCTGTCATCACATACATTGTACATATACATTGTACACAGAGTTGGGCGTGGTGTCCACTCTCATCACATACATTGTACACAGAGTTGGGCACGGTGTCCACTCTCATCACATACATTGTACACAGAGTTGGGCGTGGTGTCCACTCTCATCACATACATTGTACACAGAGTTGGGCACGGTGTCCACTCTCATCACATACATTGTACACAGAGTTGGGCGTGGTGTCTGCTCTCATCACATACATTGTACACAGAGTTGGGCACGGTGTCCACTCTCATCACATACATTGTACACAGAGTTGGGCGTGGTGTCCACTCTCATCACATACATTGTACACATACATTGTACACAGAGTTGGGTGTGGTGTCCACTCTCATCACATACATTGTACACAGAGTTGGGCGTGGTGTCTGCTGTCATCACAGCACCGCCCTCCACATCTGGGCTTCTTGAGTAACCTGGTTCTGGAATCAGGTGGCAAGAGTAGAGAACTTGCTAGACCATGGATTAGAACACCTTGGTGATGACTTGGCCACCACCAGAGTGCCAGGCAGCAGGGGGAGAGGTGGGCACCTGGGATGCTGTCATTTGCTGTGGCTGATGTCAACATGTGGGAAGGGAAGAGACAGAATAGCCTCTCACACCTGTTTCCCCTTGTCCCCCTTACTCTCTCCTCCATTTCCTCGCAGGACTCCAGAATCAGGCCAAAAGAACCACAGGGTGATCCTTCCCAAAAAGGCAGACTGCATTATGAGATGAGCTGATAAAAGAAAAAAAAAACTTTCTAGAATGCCTGAATCCCTAGAAGATACACTGGGCACACTGTCAAATCTGCTTTTATTTTGATTAAAGTTTATACAAGCCCAGAGTTTTAAAACCTTTCTACTTGTTAGGAAAGCTAGCAACCCCTGCTGCCCACCCAGCCATCCTTTTTCATTTTGGAGCCCTAGAGCTTCATCTCTCTCTCTCCTGTTGCTATGCTTACAGGCTGACCTAAGACCTCCTTCAAGGCCAGGAGAGAGCAGCTATTCTTCCCAGCTAGGACGAAGCACACTTGCCTCGCTCCATGCTCTTGACCTTCATGTGCACAGCCCTGACTCCACACCCTGTGTAGGTGGTGTTCTAAGTCACCACTAAGCTGGTAGAAACTGAAACTGCATTGCCTTATATAAGCAAAGTCGTTTGCCTCAGAGTTAGTGCCACGTCCCCTGTGTGCCTTTCTGCAGATACATTAAAATCACCCCAGACTCCCAAACAGTCTTACATTTGATTTCTCTCTGGACAAGCTAAAGCTCACGCCTTAAGCTTGTAGTAAATGTTGTGGGTTCTCTTTCCCATTAAAAAAAAAATGGAAGGAAGTGATGGCGGGAGAGAGGGAATAAGGAATGGAGAGGAGGAGAGAAGAGGAGGGAGGGGGAAGAGGAAGAAGGTAGGAAGGAGGAAACGACAAGAAAATTGAAAGAGGGAAGAAAGAATGAAGGAGGGAAAAGACAAAAAGAAATGATAATGATAATATTGATAATGATATTAATAAACAATTTGCTGGTCTTCACCAGTGGTTTTCCATTATAGGCCTTACTATTATAGGGTCATCTGGCCACACTGTCAAGTTAGAGGCCTACAACCAATGCTGGGTGCAACGTTAGGCACTTTTAGAATCCCTGCACCAGGGAAGCAGAGGCAGGAGGGTCCCTGGGTCTTGCTGGTTGGCTAGCCTAGCCCAGTGAGTAAGCCCTAGACCAAGGGGAATCTCTATCTGAAAATAAACCCAGTCAATGGCACCTGATAGCCTCTGGTCACACATGATATCGCCTCCCCAAACCGTCACCTATGGGCATGGATATCACAAATCAATTAGATGCCTAAATCTTCCTGGGCTTCTAAAAGTGAACAAAGTCTGCAGAAATATGCTGCCCCTTAGAGTTGAGCACAATCATCGATAAAGCTCGTCTCTCTCCACCATCAGTTTCTAGGATTACTGTGTACACTCATCCTGAGCGAACCAGCGCTGGTAAAGAACAGAGAAAGACAAAGGTTTAGAAAGTGGTGGGTTTCCCTTCAGTATGGCCTCAGCGAGCACCCATGTGACAGAGCTGTCAACGACGAAGGCACCAGCTGCTGGTGCTCCTCCTCTGGTTAGCAAGTGTGGCCCTGGTCTTCAGCAAAACAGGCGCTGCACTTCCTGAGAACTCAGAGACGACACGACAGAGATGAATCTGGTCCTCACAGGATCCTGTGCTAATGGGGACAGAGATATAGGACGGGGGAGAGACATGGAAAAGAGTTTGAGATAGCGCAGGGTGTTGTAGGAGCTGCGGGCTGCTTTTTGCCACCCAGCTCCCGGCTCCTGGCCGCTTGGCTAGCTTATGCCCCGAAAGAACAACACACAAATTGTATTCTTTTAAACACTGCTTGGCCCATTAACTCTAGCCCTTACAGGCTAATTCTCATATCCCGATCAACCCATCTCTAATAATCTGTGTAGCACCAGTCTTACCGGGAAAGATTTAGCATGTCTGACCTGGCAGCTTGCTTCATGGTGTCTGCCCGGGAGAGGGGAGCATGGCCTCTGAGCTCACTTCCTCTTCCTCCCAGCATTCTGTTCTGTTTACTCCTCCCACCTATGTTTTAACCTATGAGGGCCAAGCAATTTCTTTATTATAATTAACCAATGACCTTCCTCCATCAGCAGGGCTCGTGAAGCAACAAGGCAAAGGGTAGGAATATGGCAGAGAGTGGCAATTAGGAACTGTTGTAGACAGAACAAGACACAGAAGGTAAGGGAGAAACTGGTCACAAAGGTGGGGAAATACTAGAGAGAGATGATAAATGATGTTGAGAGTGATTGCATTGTCCACATGCAAAGGATACTCTAGAGGAAGGAAAAACAGCAGCTAGGAAGGAACCTAGGGCTAAGACTGCAGCTGGGCCAATGACACCAGTGTGGGAGGAGGGTGTAAGCAAGGGGGAGTGAAGCAAAGGCAGGGCTGTCAACAGGTATTTTTATCTCAGAGTACAAGTGTCTTCTTGGGAAAAGCCAATGTTTTCAGTGTGGATTGATGATGTGGGATGGTCTTCTGTATACTGTGAATATGGTCTATTATCAATTGCTTAATAAAGAAAGTAGTCTGGTCTGTAGCCAGGTGGAATGGAGACTTATGGGAAATCCAAGCAAAGTACAGGGGAAAAGAAGGCAGAGTCAAGGAGATGCCAGCAGCCACCAGAGAACCAAGATGTGAGGTTACACCACAACCATGTGGCAATACAGAGATTAATAGAAATGGGTTAATTTAAGAGGTAAGAGCTAGTTAATAATAAGTCTGAGCACCAGGCCGAAGCATTTGTAATTAATATTAAGCATCTGAGTGTTTATTTGGGAACTGGCAGGCAGGAAAGAAACCACCAATTACAGATTGACATTTGTTTTTTTCAAAGATACATGTTGATGGCACCTGAAGATTGGCTTGGAGGGAGAAAAGCATCCGAGATAAGAAGCCAGTTCCCAGGTCTCTAGGGCCTCCTGGGAGGCCCAGATTCCATGTCCCAGCCAGGGCGAAGAAAGGGTGGAGAAAGAGGGTTTGTCTCAGGACCTGCTTCTTTCCCCCTCAGGAAGCTGTCACAATAGCTGTGTCTATGGCTCCATGGTTGCCAAGGACAGCCACTCTAAGTGGATGGCGCTTCATCCCCACGGTGACAAAATGACCAGGCAATTCATTCAATTTAATGAAGAAATAAAACTAATTAGTATAGGGAAAATAATCAGATTGGCCAAACATCTTTCCAACAGGTTGTTTGGGTCTTTAAGCTTGAGCAGAAAGGTCGTGGGCACATTTGACCAGTAGCTTCTGGCTCATTCGAGAGCGCAAAGGAAGAAAATCTATTGATTTAATTTGGTTTCAACCCTACAGTCTGCAGAGAAAAGTGAATTATCTCTAATAATTGTGAAAAATGTCCAAAAAATGTCACTGAAGTGTGTTAAACTAATTTGGATTATTGAAGCAGGACACTAACTTGCTTTGAAATGAATGGCCCCTTTCAAAAAGCAAGCCGGGCTCTGGTCAGACCTTAAAGTGCAAAATGCCATCTGTTTAGGCTCCATCTCCACACACTCCGAGTCACTCCCTTCTTCAGAATCACAGATTCTACCGTCTCCATGTGTCTTCAGGGCCCGGCTGCCCACACTCAATTACAGAAATCTTATTAGAGAATTCTCTCACCCAGGCTCTCTGCTGCGTGATCTTCCCCTGATTAAAGGCCACACTCTTAATAATTTCTCTCAGAAATAATTGCCATGGCATGTCAGGAGGAAAAGACTGCTTAAGCAGTTACAGCAACTGCGAATTTAGCCCTCTTGAAAGGGCTATGTATGAGAAACTGTAAAATAATTAAAAAGAAAACGCAGGCAGAGACAACATGACAGAACTGATGTGGGATTATGGGCCTCTGTAATGTCAAATCTGCTTGGGGCTGTCACATTTCCAGGCCTTATTAAAATGCTAATAAATGTATTACTCAAATATCATTATCTCAAAATGTGCGTA